AGGGGTGGGTGGGTGGGTGTGGTGAAGCTAAGTGGAGTTTGCTTCCTTCTAAAGGTTAACTGAGTCACTTGCAGATGTGCTAAATTGGCATTTGCAAGATTGTGCACGGACACACCAGGAACTTGTCTGGGCCACCGCCGCTGTTGCTACTGAATTTCAACGGGAATTAGCCCAACAGCGGCAGCAGCAGTAGCAGAGCTTATTCATCAAATATTAACCCGAAAACGCCTTCAGGTTAGGCGCATGATTGTCCATGTCTATTTAGTAAGATGGCGACGCATGGCTTTTTGAAACGGCCATCACAGTGTGTGTGTGTGTGTGTGTATGTGTCTGGGAATCTTTTGATACCTGTTAAGTCTATTGCAAGCCCTTATATGGTTATGGTACCCTGTCTCAGGAAATATTACTTAAATTCACATAAAATCACACCATTAACTACTGCAGAGGTGGAGGAGGAGGCGAGCTGTTGGACAGGAGAACTGATGGGAAATTGTTTGATCTAGAATGACCCATGACACTGGGACAGGCTCACTAAATTAAGCATAATTCAAAATCAGAGCGACAGTTTCCTCCTAAAATCCACTTTCAAAATAATCTCATCACGCAACTTCAAAAGTGCTTAAAAGAATCTTACAGACGTAAGATCTCAACTAGAGGTTGTTTTAAATGCTATAATATAAAATGATCACATATGTTTGAGTTCTAACCTCAAATGCAATATCAAATACATCACAAGCCACCAAAATGAATTTGGGACAAATTAATAGCTCGTGTTTTATTGATCTGAAAAATGAAACAGCTAACTTCACCAACTCTCTGAACAAAAGAATCCTGGTAGGCTCTCACAAAGTTATAGGTACGTACCCACTTGTTACATTGGTATTATATATATACCATCTTTATAACCAGGGGTGTGCGATAGACTTACCTCCACGCGGTGCACCCTGGGCAACGTATACACATACGGCAAAAAAGTCTATTAACCGACAGTCGACTTCTGGCTTCAAACTAACATGACCCCACTGTATGTCTTATTCGATCACTTCCACCATACCTATCTTACATTTTCTCTGCCTTTGTGTCTGTCTGTCTCTTTGACACCTTTGAAACACTCTTCTGTCCTCCCTCTCTCCTCCTCCTCTCCGTAAAGCCCGAAGTCAGCTAAAGGGCTAATGATAAGTACCATAAAGCCCGCCATTTGAAATAAATAAATCTGTATAACCATCCGGACATTTTATACAACTTTCAAATCAACATCTCGACTTGAGTTAATAGAATCCAAAAGGGTTGAAGTCATTTTATGAAGGAGACCAAATCACATCATCGATTTCATAAGAAAGCATCGGTACTTATATATCTAACCCCAGCAAGCTTTGTCGATATTTTCGATCAAAATAATTTAATTAACAAATGATATCTTGTTTTTAATAAATTATCTCGATCTAAAATAATTTTATAAGTCTAATTTTACAATTTATTTATTGGAGTTCCAAGTAAATGACAGCGTAAATTAAATAATAAATGGCTCAAGTTGAAAATTAAAATTTAAAATCAGCGTTTAACAAATTTTCTCAATAGAAATTTTATAATATCATCTGTCTCAAATATGAATTAAAATTGTTAAAAAAACAAACAAACAAACATGCAAACAAAGTTGTGGTGGAAATGTCGAAAAACGAATAGACAGACTTGGTCTCAATTGTTAATTTGAAATAAATTACGTTTGTTCAAATTTATATATATATATATATATATATATATATATATATATATATATATATATATATATATATATATATATATATATATATATATATACTGGTCCCTGTGCACGTTTCAAAGTTTATAAGACTTTCTTAATAATGTCTTCACTCATAGAGTTGATACTTATCTCTCTACCTCACTGTTGACAGTTTCCACTAAGCCGAGGTCAGGTCATAAATATTTAAACCACTTCGTCATTCTCTAAAGTAAAACGTCACCAGAGGGTTCATGATAACATGGCATTCTCACCTAGGAAACAACAAACGGTTGATAAATACGCAATAATTAAAAAAAGCGCAATGGACGAAAAAATGAATTTTGTGAAAAGTGGTCAACCTCAAAATACTCGCCATGACCGTCTATTCAGTCCTCATTCAAGTTATTGAACCTGGAGCAAACTCATTTGACACCTCCTCTGGGAGAGTCATAATAATTGCCTTAATTTTACCTATTATCTGGCTACCTGACTTTTATAGTACCACCTCGGCGATAAGTACACTCGACACTATTCTATATATTCCAGTCCTTCGGCTTAACACCAGAGGAGAGAGTTCGAAGGTCAAAAATGCATTTTGTCATTGAGTGACAACCATTTTTCCCGTTGCCGCCATATGTATGGAATAGTATTCGTCACCCTTCCAAGTTATGGCTTTGATACTTCAGTGTTGAAGGATTCTACGAAGGCAAGGAAATTCAACCCATTCTTCTCTTTAAGATATGCTGATGGAGACCTCAAATGACAACACTACGAAAACGATAACAGTTTAGGCATATTTAGTCAACATAATTCGAGAAGTTTCCTTTGGGCTGGAAGCAAGTCGAACATTCTGTTACTCCGCGTGTCGTGTCTTTGATGATGGCAAGACTTTTTTCCATATGAAAGAGAACTGCATTGTCAGTGCTTCGGCAATATATTGCATTCTCCTCAGAAATTTCTTCGCCTTTGCCAGGCCATTTGTGTGAGAAGTCGACCTCTTCAACGCTTGTTGGAATAGCAATTACAAAGATCTACATTGCGTGTAAACTTCGTGATGGACGCTGAAACATTCGATTTATTATAGATACAAAGCTCTAATTCCCCGATATCCACTGCTCGAGTTCAATCAGATCAGATCATCATTTATGTGGTTTTCTTCTATCCGCAGTAGCGTTTTACTTTCTGTAATAATCCTCCTGTGTAAGGCCGCGGATATGGTCCACTTGTTTTTATGATGGTTGTAGAGAACCGCATCGTACAAGTTCTTCACTTCCATGATTCAGGTGGGTTCCAGTCGTTATCCATTCTCGTTTCCATCACTCATGAAAGAGGGTCTAGAGACTTAGTGAAGTATTTATGCACATGAACGCCGTAAACACTACTTTAATGGCAATTATATTGGATTTTGCTAAATTTATTCCTGAACTCCAGCACGAATCCGGTGTTCTAAATGTCAGAATACATTGGTTGAAAAATTATCAACAACCAATTAGTGAATGGTGATCTTCTCATCTGTATGAATTTCGACACTTTTCTTCTGTTCATCCAAGGTGATTATACGACTCGCCTTAATGGCTGTAGGGGGTATTTACGTTGACAGCTTATGAAAGATTTTCTGACTCCAGTTGACATCTTTTCATTGAAGGTGATCACTGCTACGCTGGCTACAACCCCTGTGTACCATCCCCTTGTAAAAACCAGGGTCAGTGTGTGAGAACGGGGGTGAAACATGAAACCTTTACCTGCAACTGTCCTATTCAGTGGTCTGGCCGACTTTGTGAGAAACAGCTGTCACCATGTGAGGTCGCGCGTCAAAAGTTGGCCCACGCCGACCTCAATGATCTCTTCGGTATAGGGAAGTACAAGAATCAATCCACCTCCCACAGTCCCCGCGATAAGAAACTCTTCCGAGTCTGCAAAAATGGCGGCATCTGCGTGGACTTGATGGATGAATTCAAATTTATTTGCAACTGTACAAGTGGATGGAAAGGAGAGTTATGCGAAATCGCAGATGTAAATACTTTAAACCTTTTTTTGCATTATAAGAAATTTTATACCGAAGTCGGAGAATATTCAAAATAGTCTCTCAATTATATAAGAACATTTATTAGCATTAATTTGATATTTTTAAAGTGGTAAAAAAGAAAACCAGTATGTAGTGCTATGGCGAAGTATTTACGCAATTTCGTTTATATTTTACAGTGGACCAATACCATTGTTGCGGCCTGTGTAGTAATCGGACTGCTTCTAATATTCCTTTGTGCTATTATTCCCTGTTGCTTGCGTATGAAAGCACTGCAAAGAAAGTAAGCTATATTTTAGTAAAGACACTGTTTCTACTATTTTGTCAATTTAGAAAAACGCCAGTTCCTATGATCTACGATCGTGGAACGAATGAACCTGCAACGGAGCGTATTCAATTCAACGACATTGCCTATAACTCTAATGTCTATCTCAATCGATTTGGATTGCCTAGTGATGAGAATACTCAGCAAAACTATGACTACTGTATCCTACCTAGTGGAAGGGAAAGCACCTTAAATACTTTCAGTTCAAATGAATACGAGGTTTCGGTGGAAGAAAAAGCACCTGAATTGCCAGTTCGTCCAGACAGTCTTGCACCGATTTCACGCTCATCAAATATCTCGGTTACTCAAGAAACTGAACCACTTCATTCCCCACGTTCTGATTCTACCTATAGTAGGCAGCCTCTCCTGTCACCAAGAACTTCAGCACTTTCTCCGAGTGTAGAAGATTTCGACCATGGTAGTCTCCACTATGTGGAAGCCCTTCCCAAACGTTCCATTGACTGTGGTGAATCTACAATTTCTAGGCTCCTGAAGAAGTCAAAGAAGTGAGATCTGAATTTCAGCCATTGTGTATCAAGTGCATTCTAGACTATTCCCATTTCCTTCCCCAATTTTATCTTCTCGTTTCATTCCCTCCACAATCCCATCACCTTTGCCAGTGGCTATGATTTCAATTGCCTCTATTATTTTTGTGAAAATTAAGACCAGATATAATCACCCATCAAAACCTGTTACTTAAATTTTCATGGATGTAAATGTGTAAACATGATTAATCTCACCGTCTTCTAAACTGAGAGTTTCAAGTTTCGGCCTTATTCAACGTGCACTTAAATATTATTTGTATCTGTTAGAGGGCTGTGTTTCCAAGACAGAGGTAAATAGCTATCAATGCTCATTTGAAAATGCTTGGTCTAATTAAAATCCCAATAATTTACTCTTCAATTTAAACGATACGTAAATTTAACATTTTTTTCTCTAGTTCTCATAATATATTGAGCTGTCTAATCCCACTGAGGAGGAATTCGACTTTGGCAGATCACATTTTAGTAAGTTGCTTCATACCACTGTACATAGGCTTGGCCAAATTCTGGGAATCCCAATAATAAGATAAAAGCTATATTCACGTTTCATTCGGATAGAAAAGAAAGTTATTAAGCGATTTATATTTTAGTCTCTTCAATGCATTTTTCTTAACAAAGAGAGTGCTTAAATGAAAGCAGCGGGGGGGGGGGGGGGAATTCGCAAAGAAAGAGTAAAAGAAAAGCCAAAATGAATTCGATATTTGATTCAGAAATAGGATGCAAAATCATAGGTAATTATATTATATTACATGCTTGCATATTTTTTGCTCTACTTGGATAGCATTATTTTGTATATATTGACTTCAGTAATGATTTATTTATTTCAAATGGTGGGCTTTATGATGCTTTTCATTTGCCCCTTGACTGACTTCGGGCTTCACAGAGGGAAGGAGGAACACCAAAATGAGAAAAGTGGAGAGGGGGGACAGAAGAGTGATTCAAAGATGCAAAAGAGATAGACAGGCACAAAGACAAGGAAAAGGTAGAACAAGTATGGTGGAAGTGATCGAATAAGACATACAGTGGGATAGTTTGAGGTCAGAAGTCGACTGCCGGTTTATAGACTGAGATGTCAACTGCCGATTAATAGACTTTTTTGCCGTATGAGAAGTGATAAGTCAACTGCCGGTTAATAGACTTTTTTGCCGTATGAGTGGGTTGCCCAGGGTGCACCGCGTGGAGGTAAGTCTATCGCAACAACTGCCGGTTAATAGACTTTTTTGCCGTATGAGTATACGGTGCCCAGGGTGCACCACGTGGAGGTAAGTCTAAATATACATTGCCCAGGGTGCACCACGGAGGTAAGCCGAATGAGAATACGTTGCCCAGGGTGCACCACGTGGAGGTAAGGTGTGAGTGTACGTTGCCCAGGGTGCACCACGGACTCTTTTGCCGTGTATACGTTGCCCAGGGTGCACCAGTTTGTTTGCCGTATGAGTATACGTTGCCCAGGGTGCACCACGTGATAGACTTACTTGCCGTATGAGTACACGTTGCCCAGGGTGCACCACGTGGTGCCTTATGAGTATACGTTGCCCAGGGTGCACCACGTGGAGCCGTATGAGTAAACGTTGCCCAGGGTGCACCACGTGGAGCCGTATGAGTATACGTTGCCCAGGGTGCACCACGTGCCGTTTGAGTATACGTTGTCCAGGGTGCACCACCTGGAGGTAAGTCTATCGTGAGTATACGTTGCCCAGGGTGCACCACGTGGAGGTGTATGAGTATACATTGCCCAGGGTGCACCACGTGGAGGTAGCCGAATGAGAATACGTTGCCCAGGGTGCACCACGTGGAGGTAAGGTGTGAGTGTACGTTGCTCAGGGTGCACCACGTGGAGGTAAGTCCATCGCACACCCCGATTTCAGCAATGAAATTCATTAGGCACTTGCCTCTTTCCAATTACAAGGATAATAATTTTGACAGTCATTCAAAGAGTCCGGTTTGATTTGACTTTATTTAGCCTTGGGTTGCAGAACGAGTCCTTACGATATGAGCTTCAAATGTCAATGCATGTCCTTTGAAAATGTTTGTCAATGATTTTCACAGTGCTTAATAGCCCTTTACAAACATGATGGTCGGTCTTGCCACTTTGAGACATTTTTTCGTTGGAATGGTTGAAAAGACTAAAGGGTCTGGTAGAGTATTCAGCAGCTTATAGTCTGTACATAGTGGAGATGTACGAACTTTCGCGAGCTCCGTTCACTCATCATAATCTTTGCACTATTTTTAAGTAATATAATTCACATGCAGTCAACAGTTTGCTTAATAAAATAATTGCCTGTTCGTGCCAAAGATATTGTAATTATTGAATAATTATATTTGCTGCTATAAATGCCTTTTCTCAATTTAGTGTTGCTGAATGCTTTTAAGTTGAATGCCGAGGTTCTTGAATATTTTATTCCCTCACAATGATTTATATATGATTATTCAAAAATATGACATTTAGACTAAATTGGAAACCTAAAGTTTACTTTTTTTCTAGACATAAATCGAGTAAAGAAGCCAGTAATTTTCCTAAAGTTTACATTTTTTTCGTCTTACAACCATTCGGACTAATCTAACTGCTATTCACCCTACCAAAGCTCAATGCGTGCTGAACCAGTCCACGGAGTATTGCCATACGCATATGAATATACCTATTTTAGAGGGTTAGATACGTGGGTGTGAGATGATATTTCATAATTCATATTACCCGCATTCGTGGTGTGCGATAGACCTACCCCCACTTGGTTCATCCTGGATAGCGTACACTCATACGGCAAAAGTCTATTGACCGCAGTTGACTTCTGACTTCAAACTACAGTGGCCCCACTGTATATCATATTCTACCAATTCCACAGTACTCACCTCTCTTTTTTCTCTGCCTCTGTGTCTGTCTGTCTCTTTTACATCTGTGAATCACTCGTCTTTTACTCCTCTCGAATTTTCTCACTTTGATGTTCCTCCCCTCTGTGAAGCTTGAAGTCGGCTAAAGGGCTAATGATAACTATCAAAACGCCTGTCATTTGAAGTATTACCCACATTCAATTTGGTCGGTACCTCTCAGCCTTCCTGTTGATTCTTTTAAGTTGACATACAAATATCTACCCTTCCTTGTCTTGAACCATGAGATGATCGTTACGAAAATATATCTATGTGCGTGTCTGCTTATTCTTAATATATCAACAACAATAAGAATCTATTAACAAATAATTTTGCATCAAATCATTGTTCAAAATCTACGAACGAGTGAATCTAAATTTGCTGTCCAAAGTGCTTTGGAAAAAACTTATCTACGCAATGACAATTAACCTGTCAGTGGATCTGTGTGGCATTCATTGATCTCCCTGACACCTGAAGCTTCTGATGGTAGCCTGGTAATGACTATTTTCAGTCAGGACATTTATTTACTTATGGAGGCCCCCACTTGACAACCAGTAATTAATTTTCAAACTGTGTAAACATATAGGTACGACTTCTTTCACATTAATATCATAACGATAGCGTAGTTGACCAGCATGTCAGGTAAAATCAGTTTACTAAACCTCGATACACAGGATGTGATTATAATAAGCATATATCTGGGGTTTTTCACAGCCAGAGTTTATTTCCGATTTCTGTCTCTCAAATAGATAGGCAATGTAAAGGAAACCATGACTGATATTTTTTCAATTGCAAATAGCGATACGCCTTTAAAGTCCCCATGAGCCATCATAGGTGTTCATTTTCCCAGCTAGTAGGTTTCCAAAATTTGATATTTAACGTGGAAAAGTGAAAGATGTTTGATTTTACTCATACCTATTAGCATCTTTAATCTGGTGTGTGGTCAAAATTCGTACCTGCTGAAACCTCGCAACTTGAAGTGAATGACTATTACAAAATGGAAACATTTTCACACAGATCAAAGTTTAAGAATTCACAAAATTTTGTTAAAGTCTAAGCTGAAATTAATGAAATACATCTCGTCACATTTTGGAAGCCTAGATTTACTGAATCTAATTAGGAACGAGCTTGTTTATATTGGCAATCTTCAGTATCAAATCGATGACAAATCCAGATCATCATTTTTTTATTAGCAGTGTATGTTTGAAAATTTTCCTTGGGTGGATCATCAAAGTATTCGGAGCTAAATGCTACCAAAAAAAGAATTATTTTTTCATGTAAAATGAAAATAAATATGTCGATGAATTGATGGATTACTGATCAAATATCAGTTGCCATGGGTTCGATTCCAGTAACTGAGATAGACAACCCCACTGTTTAAGTCTGGCTAACATTTATTTATATCAAATGGTAGGCGTCTTGATGGTTATCATTGGCCCTTTAGTTGACTTCGGGCTTCACAAGGGGGAAAGAACATCAAATTGAAAAAAGTCGAGAGGGTGGGGGGAAGAAGAGTGTTTCAAAGATGCTAGAGACAAACAAAAAGGTAGAAAAAAGGTGAGCTGAATACCGTGAAAATGGTCGAATATGGCATAGAGTGAGGTGATGGTAGCTAGAAGTGAGAAGTCAACTGCCAGTTAATAGACTTTTTTGCCGTATGAATATATGTGGAGGTAAGTCTATCGCACACCCCAGTCTGGCTAATATAGAGAATGACAGAATTCGAACGCCTCAACAGAAGCGAACCATTGTCATATCAACTCAAAATGTGCCATAGTAATTTTCTCTAAATGACTTCGGGAAGTCATTGGTAAAATAAAATCTCTTTATTTCTTGAAATGCATTTCGCTGAATTTTATTTTACTCTTTTTTATAATTGAACACCCTCTTTTTATCCCTAAATGAAGGGTATTGCTGTCTATTGTTGTACAGATACTGCTACATGATTAAAAGTAAGTATGGGAAATACGTGCGAATACGTGGATGTTTTAAGCAAGAATTGGAACCAATACTTTGGTTTTGCTTATAGAGAGCACATTAATTAAAATTTTATTTGGCATATGACGCGGACATGGGCTTCAAACCAGTTCATGCATTTTAATTTGATTTTGTGTTTACATTTAATAAGGTTTAAAAAACACATCGATAGTGTAAATATGCATACACACACACACAGACATACAGGCAGCAGCTATTGTCTATCACGAATTTCTTTGAGAACTTACAAAACATTAACTAGTTACCATTTAGTAATGTTGATCAGTGATAGCATGATTCCATAGAAAGCACATATTGTCGTCATAGTGGTAACTGAAAACACAAAAGAGCTCCGAATCGAAAAAGAATTTAAAAACCCAAAGTCCAGTTTCTAATAAACAGACGGAACTTCGATGTTTTTAATGATAGCTAAAGCAGCCTCTAAATAATAAACCGTTTTGGTTCTTTTAATAAGAAGTTAGTCTTTAAAGGAAAGAACTGTAAATGTTACTTATAAAGGTTATAGCTACCCTTTAAAATTGGGAATATCGTAGTACTTTTATACAGACTTTTGAAGGCCAGGCTGTCTAAAAATGACCTTCAAAATATTTCCCCAGTTTAGAGTATTTTTATTCGTCCGTAAGAAATTTAATTAAGTTCACGGTAACCCAAAGAAATGTTAAGTGTTCCAAAGCAACCTTTTCACCACCTCATCTTCACTTACCGCAATTTCAACAAACAAATTTTCATTAAATTGACTTTGTACAAACGTCTTATTAAACCTTTGGAAAATGAACTATGCAAATAAATTGCATGTTAATATACATCTCTTCATGCATTATTCAATTTATATATATGATACTGAATGAAATAATGTTCAGAAAGGTAAGCGATGAAATTTGATTATCTGAACTATTACAATCCATGCCACTCAGTACACCCAAGGATAAAAAAGTAATAGCCTTCATGTCAATTAAACTCAAGAATACATGTTTAAACCAATGCTAAACTTCTCACCACACATTTTTTTGCGGCCTATCATTAACAAAGGACGAAATGTGGCATCGGCTAACCATCGAATAGAATCTTTCTTCGTTTTAAGTTAGTTATTTAAAACGGACAAATCAGGGGTTTCGGGATATAAATAAAAGCTAGATCTAGTAATTATAATTTTGTTCTTAATCATCATATAATTCTAAAACGATAAAATACTGCTATCACCTTTCGAAATCTCTGAGTGACCTTGGAAATTGTCGCAAATGCAAATCAGGTAATTTCTGATCCTGATTGGTCAACATAATCGTTTGGTTAAATCTCATTGGTTCAAAGGGCTTCAGCTCGAGGGCTATAAAATTTCAACTCTATTGTGACGCTTCCTCCTATATTTCTCTCTGAAATCGGTGTTAAATGAAGCTATGAGGCTGCGTTTTGAATGTATTCTTATCTTATTAACGTGCTTTGGTTTATTTAGAAGTGATCCGACCGTAAGTTTCAAAAAATTTCATGCTTAATATTGGATATGCAGTAAATTTTACATTTTTATTGATTGACAATTTTAGGTACTAATTTTATAATATAATTTAGGAAACAGCCGGAAAGCTTGAACTCCACTTGAGGTATTCAAATACTGGACACTATTCGAGTACTGGGTGGTGTGATATCTTAGCCAGGACATGTGATGTCTACTTCGTTGTCTGCGTCTGGAGCAGTAGCGCTAGGCAAGTCGCACGACCTACCTTTTCCCTAGCTTGAACTTCCTTAAAGCCTTGAGATTCTCAAACTTACGTCAACCAGTAAAAGTTCACGTTCACGTTATCGAAAGTTGGCACTACTTGATGGCGTGTTCAAATGAATAAACAAAAAATACACACTTTAAGTCCAAATAGCCCTCCCACAACCAATTAGATTTTAAATAGGCGTATGCAACTTGTGACCTGATATATCAAGATTTGCTTGCATTCTCCCACCACCCCATTCTATGTGGTTTTTGCATATCATGTCCCTAATGATTAAATCTTCTTTTCTTAATCGTAAGCAGGAACGTTTGGATAATATATAATTCTCATGTCAATATATTTCATTTAACGGATTTATATATAATTAGTTCCCCTTCGATCAGTTTGCCTGATAAATACATTTGTGAAACTTTCTCGACTTTACAGTTAGAACACCTGGCCGTTTCAAATATTGGTTCATGAATTTTCCTCTTAATTTTCGATCTTTGATCTTGTTGGCCTTTACGTCACACAGTTCGGTAATAATCTTGTCTGCAAGGAAGAGAATGTTGATTTAAGTTCGGCTGAGTTACAAAATGCTATCCCGTTAATTAATATTAGGCAATAACTTTTGGTCCCCAATTACAGACGTCGCTGTCTTAGCCACACCATAACTACAATAATGATTTAAGCTAACAAGTTTGCAAACTTTTTCAATTAGTGCCACACTGGCTGTCCACTGATTTTAAACTTTGCTAGATCATGTGGGAAACAAAATTTATGAGGCGCCAATATGTTCATCATTCATCATTTCTTGACCATAAAAAAACTAGCTGCAGCAAGAATGGTGACTACTTATTAAAATCATCGGGAAACGGATGCAGTTACACACTTAATTCACTTGGAGAGGCTGGGTATTAGCTAGTTAGTTAGTGCAGAGGACTTTTTTTGATGGAAACGCAAGGACGAATTAATTTATGCGCATCTCAGGTATCATAAAAATTCTTCTTTTATTAGAAAAAGGGCACTTTTGGTTAGCGTTCACTGTTTGTATTGAAAGTGATTTTAGGCACTCAAGAAATAAGGAGGGGAAGAAACCATTCCCTTATTTAGACTTAGTAAAACTTAAAGTCATAACTACCAAAACAATACACTCAGACGCATGAAATGGGGAAGCCATTTCGTTTTATTTAATTAAATAGGAATTAAATACCTACATTGGTTGAATTAAAGTCGCATCAAACAGCTATAACCTCACGCTTTACAGCGTCAACACTTACAGTTTGAAGCCAGCATACCTAAGATGGCATCGAAAGAAGGTGGAATTAGAATAAAGACACAACTCGGCCAGGTCAAATTTCTTGGGTCTACATGGCTCACTTTCAAACGATTTTATTATATATTTAAATAACAAAAATATATATATATATATATATACATATTATACACTATATATTTTTAGCTCAAAAGGTAACTGCAATGTGGCCAAAAAGACAACACATGTTATCGGGCCACATTCCAAGATTGAAACCTCGGTAGAACTACCACTTACCTCACCAATACCGGTAATCCCTAGTTACCTACCTCTTAAGTTTTCTTCATAGTACCTAAACACAAAATTTTCGATTTTAGGAATTAGTCTACTTTAGAGTCGAGGCTTGGGACTCGGATACTACATCGAGCGATGATCTAATAGGAATGTTTTATTCAAAGGAAGTACCTCTTTCATCCAAAAGTGAATTGCATGCCCTCACTCTTACGAATATGAATATTACCACCTATAATTCTCATGTCAAGTAAGCATTGTGTTCTATTACAAAAATTTGGCTGATTGTCCTTTGAAGCCTGATCAAGACCGTTGAAATTGTCAACGCTTTACCCTAAAAGCTTATAGAGAAATAAAGGGGGCGGGGGTGGCAAAATTCCTCTCATCAAAAGTGACCCTTCTCTTTCTCATTGAATACTTCCGCATTCCATCCACTCACTCTTATTTGATAGCAAGTCGGGCTTTTCGAAGCATTAGACCAAAACCTTCCAAATGTGCACCGGTTGGAAACTTGTATGCTTATTCTTGTAGATGCTTCAATAGTGTAATGCAATAGGATGGGCTAGTTATCGCTGCACTCTTGGATTTTACATCGTTCCGGTAGTCCATTTTATTTTGAAATATTAAGCACTCTCTAGCTTTATTCGTTCTAGAAAATGCGCATTATTGGAGATCAGTTATGAGGATTGCTTGCCATGCGCAACAGTTTTTTTTGAAAATTTACCTGCTTCTTAACGTGATATGTTACTGCACTTTGCCTAAGCATTATTCCAGACATAAACTTTGGCCTCGGAGTGTTTGCAAAGAGTTGAAAAGTATCGTGTCTATGGGAGGCAAACTAGGATATATGTTTCACTATTCTGCAGTTGGAATGCAGTCATCATGCATCTGAGTATTTGCAATAGTCACAGGTAGGTATGGTTTAACTTGGGATCAATATTTTGAAGTTAACAGTTGTTATTCAATCTTACTTCCTCTCGCAATTGAAATGGCTCATTAGTTCTAATTAATTTTAACAAATTACGATCAAATTCATTTAATTATTAATGCCAGAAATTGATGAGTTTTCAAAAATGTTGTGGGTAAATGATTTTACATGGTGTGATGGATTGATTCATATACTGGATATGCCTCGATCACATGGACACGGTATCAGCGGTGTATTGTTGAATGATTTGCATTTTGTCAATGTTCAAGCCCATTGGCAAAAAGAGCTTTAACTACCTTTCTGAAGAAAATTTTTTTAAATAAATTCTAACTGTAATACCTGTGCTTTTTTCCTCCTTTGCGATACGCCTTTCCGTTTAATTGGTGTACCCCAGTTGAAATCGGTCTAGCTTACCCTGGCGTGTCCCGACCACAATCGAATAACTTTGATTTGTTTTCTAAGAAATTTATGGCGACAATTTTACGAGTTGATAGTTGCGCCATATTTTCATTGAAAATTAAAAAAAGCATTGATGTTTTATTTCAGAATCAACGCCTTTTTTGGACTTACCTGCTCTCTCCATTACTACGGACCCCAATGCGAGACATACTGCAAGTCCGACTTTAAGACTTATCACTGTGGAGAGAATGGTGAACGCAAATGTCTGCCAGGTTAGGGGAAATCTGTTTTATGAGGAACAAATTAAATTGCAAGCAGCCTTATCTGGGTTACTTTACGATTAAGATAGTTGGACAAATTCGGGAAATACAAAATTTTTAAATTTTTATCATGACATTAACATATACTTAAATAACCACTCAAACCAACAGTAATTTCAAAAAGATTTAAAATCGCTTTTCAAGATTTTATACCTAAGACGTCAAGGGACCGTAAGCAACTTTTAACACTTGGGTGTACCAGAGTCGCTCTTATGAGTTTTTTGCACTCCAATCTTCACTTTAGCGGACCGTTTTATCCGAATAAACTGGAATTCACAACCCTGAAGCGCACTCTAGCACTCGTTAAACTGTGATCCTAATTCGATCTCTTAACCAGCCTAAAATAAACTATGATATGTGATAAAGATGGGTGGTAAGTGGTAATGTGACTATCGTACCTGAAACTCAACGCTATTTCTTCTTCAGACGACAGCAAGTTTTTTTCCGTGTTTAACTCGTATCTGTCAAATCTGAATTCTCACTTTAGTAGTATCAGCTCTTATAGGACCTAAAAGGTCTGTATAATTAAGCTAGAAACGTATGTAATGAACTTGAAAAATAGGAGCTCAGCGAAAAAACCTTTTAACCAACCTCTCGGATTTTTTTCGGTCAAGGTTTGGAAATGATTTTGAAAAATATTTACGAAGTTTCATTATCATTAAAAACACTATTTCAATTGACTCCACCATTTAAATCGCTTTAACAATGATAAAATAGTCATCCTTCGTCTCCTCTACATTTTTCTACTTTTCTAGAGGCCTTAACGACCATTTTGACTAAGATCCACCTGCTTACATCTAAGATACTAAGAGGAAAGGCATTTATAAACGGCATGACTAATCATTCAACTAAGCTATGTATACTGCGAAATTTGCGGCATGAACCGTGTGAATAAACTTTGCGCGCGATTCTTGTGCTCTCTTAAATCCAATCTCAATTTCTTTTACCTCGCCTTTGAGTGGGGAGTTGTAATGAGTATGTGGGGCTCAACTGCCTCCCCATCATTCGCAAATTTTAAATTTTGTCCCTTATTTTAGAAATAAGTAAAATATAATCCTATTAAGACTTAACAAATATTTTCTAGCCTTAGTGATTTAGCCTATTCTAAGGTGGCAATCCTCTGTTTGTATAAACTGTTCGCATAAACATTCAATTAATTTGTCCAATCGTATGCATTTACTACGCACACAAAATGACTATTAGGACTTTGAATAGCACTTTACCTTTGTATTCACGTTGATTAAATTAGCGTTCACTTTCTTCATTACGAATGTGAATTTCTTCGTTACTATAAGAGATTCTAACTCAAGGATAAGTTATTTTGCAAAACAATTTAGCCAACATCGGGGTCTCAATTCAAGATAGTGGCCTTGAGTATAAACAGTTATGACCCCACCTGTGTGCCAGCAAAATGGTGGCCATTTTATTGTTTATCGAGAGAGACTGCAGAATAACTAGCAGTACCGCGTTCCGATAATGATCTTCACTAAGCATTAAAACTAAGAAGGCTCGAGGACTCGTAGTCTTTCACCAAAAAGGGAATTAAATTTTCAATATATAAAATCAATGCACGACAGAGAAAAAACTCACTTCACCCCAAAAAATCTAAGCAAAGCTCTTTCCTGATTCGTGTTCTCTTCAATGATTGTGAGAAATTGTGAATTCTGCTTCACCTCACCTTCATAGTCTACATTGGATTCATGTGAATAGGGGTAAGGCTACCGCTTTAAGGACTCATTTATCCTCAATAAGAACGCAGTAGTTTTGAGACTAAAGTGTAAACTGAGGGAGTCGAGCGAGGTTATGATAGCTTGAGCGTCGAGAGAGAAATCAAAATAATTAAAAAATTTCAAGTAATAATAATAATTGAAAATACTTTCAAATTCTCTGTTTATTTTAAAGTTAACAGGGCATAATAAATTTTTAATATTTATTTATTTCAAATGGCAGCCCTTAGCTGACTTCGAACTTCACAGAGGGGAGAAACAGCAAAGTGAGAAAAATTCAATGGGGGAGCGAAGAGTGATTTGCAGATGTAAAAGAGACAGACAATGATAGAGAGTAGGGTAAGGTGAATACTGTTGAAGTGGTCGACTATGACATACAATGGGGTCATGGTAGTTTGGAGTCAACTGCCAATTAATAGACTTTTTTGCCGTATGAGTATACGTTGTCCAGGGTGCACCACGTGGAGGTAAGTCTATCGCACACCCACTTGGCTCTCCCCTCAAATTTCAACCCTACACGGATGGGCTTGTTTTTTTTTATTTTTACTATTACCATTACAATTATAATTATATTTTTAATATAAATGTAGTTGAAGTAGAAAGCCTTGCACCTAAACTTGTTCTAACAATTTCGTACAAGTGAAAACAACCCCGAGTTTCCAATTTCTTAACTTGTGTTGAAGGGATGCAAAATTGACTATATATATTCAAGGTAGTGATGTAAATCTTTCATTCATTTCTAAGATTCATTTTTTCTTCCTATTCTTAGGGGTTACATTCAACCTTGGCATATTTGATAGTTGAAACGGACACAAATTGACATTCGCGTTAAACTATTTTGATTGCTTCAAATTATGCATATTTTTATCAGTAAAAAAAGGCTGTTACATAATTTAATATTTTCACAATTGAATTAAAGATGTTTTTGCCAATACTTTGTCGATTGAAAGTGGCTTTAGCTCTTGATTAAACTGCATGACGAACAGTAACTAATGGACAAGGTTTTGCTTACTTTGGAAGCAAAATTTCTTCTATATGAAAGAAGAGACTTGGTAAATGTTTGCAATGCTTTGCTTCAGTGGTAATCTTACATGACAGCTGTATAGTAATAAAATAATGATTCAATACACGCAGGTTGAAAGTTAAGAGTCTTGCTTAGTATAAGGAAATATTCGATTTGCTTCTATCTAAACAGAGTTAACACCTTGAAATTTTAGGATGGAATGGGGAATTCTGTAACAAGGTGGATATGTGTTACCTGAAGCCCTGTGCACCCTATGCTCGATGCACAAATACCGACAATGAAGAGGGTCGCGTATGTTATTGCAATGGCGGCAGTGGTATGTCGAATTTATTTATTTAAAAATAATTAATTTGGCCAATTAATATAACTACATGGAATGTTCTCGAATTTGTACCACGTTATTTTTAATTATATCCTACCATCTGACAAGCATTTCAACAACTTGACTCATTTATAACTTGTGCTAAGCAATTTAGGTTTTCATGTAAAATATTTTTAAATAGGTAAAATTCGGATTTTTGAGGGTTATTAACTTAGAAACGGCGTTGCCCAAGAATTTTTTTGCTAACGTTTTGCTAAGACGGCTTTTTAACTTTTTGAATTCACATTCCAAATTTTAAAAGGAAAATGCTTTCAACTCTTAAAGCGGAAAGGGAAAAAGTTTCCCAAGGCCGCTCTGTTTGGAAACACTTGTTTTCTCGGCGTTGTTGTCGATCAGAATTAATCAACTAACCTGTTCATCCGCATCACATTGGTCAAGATAGATGAACGTAATTCAACGCTTGTAAAAGGGGCTTCATCTATGTAATTTCAATGGAGTTTTCTTTGCAATATTTATTTTCCATTCGTGCCAAAACCAAAGTTTTTACGTTTCTACATCCATTTACATTGGTCATATGGTTTATAGGACCCGAATGTTATCAAGTGCCAGATCCCTGTGAGCCATCACCGTGCCAAAACGATGGAGCGTGCTCAAGAACTGGTCCACATCTTGACCAATTCGTTTGTGAATGTAAATCCCCCTGGTACGGTCCGACTTGCCAACAGCGTTATTCGGCCTGTGCTGACGCCATGATAACGCAGGAAGCCTGCTTCAATGGTGGTTTGTGTCAGGATGACCCTAATGAATTTGCCTTCACGTGTGCCTGTCCTATTGGGTGGAAAGGTGACTACTGTGAAGATAAAGATGTAAGAAAATTACTAAATTTACAAGCAAAATATGAGCCTGAAACTTCTAATCTGCGTATTCTTTTTCGTATCTTCAGTATACAGTCGCAATCGTGACTCCCATAACTGTAATCATCATCATCATAGTTATCTCTATTCTACTACTTTTCTTATGGCGAAGGCGACGGTGAGTTTGAAACTATTTGGCTACATTTATTAACTCTAGTTATTATTTCGCTTTGTATCATGCTACTTGGTTATTAAGAAAGGAGGGAAAAAATGGTTGGTTGTGTAGGGGATTGCTACTTTATTAAGGCCTGACTGACTCAGAAATCTCTATGGCAGATCCTCCTACATCAAGCTAGACTCCCAGAATCAGCTAAGCTATAGCCCACCTATAAAGGGAGCATACGTGTAGCACGGAGCACGTTTATTCAGGACGTATATTGCGGATCAAGTGTACACGCAAGGAGCTACTCATGATCAGGATGGGGGATTAGGTTAAACAGAGAGTAATGATTGGTAACTGTTTGTACGGTCGCTGCACACGGAGTTGTACGGCCGCACCTCCCAATCCTGGCGAGCAGACATGCAGGCATACGATGACGCACACAACTATAACGTGTCCCACAGTTGTTACCACTATGGATCATGATATAGTCTATTTTATTAAATATGATTTTTCAATATATACCGTTTTTAATGTTAACAACTTGTTCTTATTTGTTTTGTGAAATAAAGTTTAAAGAAATATTATCAAACGCTGAA